TACACATTTTTTGACCTTCTAAAGTAGACGCCCCAATTCAATGCACATTAAATCTTTTAATACACTGTGCAACAGAATTCCATTTTTTTTTAATTTCTGGGATCGCATATCATGATTTTTAGAAGTTTTTTTTGACGTTGAACACGAATATAAACTCAGAATTGTTCCATCAACCTAGGTTTTCGAGAAAATTAAAAAAATGCCGTTTTTAGGGTCAGGTTAAGGAGAAAAAAATACTGAAAACCGTAAAAAACATGTTTTTTTGGTATATTTACCGCCACTTTTTTCAAAATCCTGACTTGATACACAATTTTGGAATCCGCGATCGTGTTCAGCACACAAAAATACATTGGAAACCGCTCTGATATCTTAAAAAAAATACAAGGATAGGGTAAGTGTACCAATTACGACGCGTTCATAAAAAATAACTATTATTACTATTATATTTAATATAACTGTTGCAAAATGATTTAAAAAAATGATACGATTATCTTTGAAAGTATGAAAAATGATTAATATTGATTCCGAATGACTTAATTTACTATTTTCAAATGTCTCAAAGTCTATGATCACAAAATAATCAATATAATAATGTGTATTGTCTCTAAAAAAATACTTTTGTGCAGCTTTAAATGATAAAACTTTGTAATTAATAAAAATTATGAGTTCTGAAATGCTTTTATTTAAACTTATTGAAATTAAAGAACTCCTAATTATAATAAAAATGGTATATCTTGTTAATAATAAAAAATAAGCTTATTTCAAAAAAATATTGTAAAAAATGTGTAAAAAGATTTATCAATTATTATGGTTAATCGCAATAGTATCAATCTGCTTCATTTCTTTTGTTGTAGGTAAAAAGTAATTTATTTTTAAATAATTAGCAACTTAACAAGAATGTATTTTATCTCTTCACTTGTGAAATTTTAAAATTTGTCACTTAAAATGTATGTATGTGAATAAAATTTCAGTGTTGTACCCAAAAAACAATTTTCCTAATTTTTCTTACTGAAAATTTCAATACTCCAAAAATATATTTTGCTTATATTTTAAATTAATTAAAATATTAATTTTTTTTTTACCTTTTCCACTGGATAAGACGTAGCCCAATGAAATGTAATTGGCTTCGTAAGGCAATGTATAATACGGCGTCGAATGATCCGACGGTGGTTGTTGACTGAAAACATTTAAAAAATTTTTAATCAATTTTACAATCGGTAAAATTTAATTTATAAAATTAAAAGAATTAACTCACCTGACAATTGCATTTAAAATTGTAATATCCTCCAAATTTGCAATCATTAGAGAAAATTGACATGTATCCTTGCTGACATTTTCCCACTCACTTAATGAGCTGTGTGTCTCGTCCTCGGGCGAGGAAGAAAAATCTTTTTCCTGAGAATCATCTCCCTTTAAATTGCCAATATTTCGACTCTCTTTCTTTTCGTTCGCTGATTCGCCCGCATTTCCATTATCCACTTTTTTCTCCCTTCCATTTGAATTATTATCGACATTTGCATTTCCATTATCGTCAATATTAGAAAATACTAAATTATTTTCAAGACGCATTCCAACTGCTCTACACACTAAAGCTGCTGTCAATGCATGAAATGGATTCGATGCTTCGGTTAAAATTTTACGTGCCTCTTTCCACCATGAGGAAATTTCATTATAATCGCCACAAATCTCATTCACATCTTCGATTACCCAGAAAAATAAAATTAGAAAAATATTTTTTGATAAAAAAAAACAACAGCAAATTTATTCATAATTAAATTTAAAATTAAAATGGAAAATTAAAAAAAAATTTGTTCTTTGTTTAATTGATTTGTAAATTGTTGATTGTAGAATTATAAATGATCATGGGAAGGTGTAATTGAATAAAAAATCCAATGTTTCGTCAATGCGACGTTTCGCTGGCAAGGTTCGTCAGCCTCATCAGGCTAAAATTTATTAAAAACAAATTTTTATATAAAAGACTTCAAAAATATTTTTATAAAAGGACCAAAGCACTATTTTAAACGATTAGAACAAACTTTTATAAATTCATACCTAATTTTTGTTAAAACACGAGCACACATTTTCACACGTCATAAAAAATAAACAAATCCACACAATAATTTTATACAAATTAAAATTTTTTGAAAAAGAGACAATCACAGAGAAGGCAAACATTTTCGTACGAAAGATCGATGTCAACTGAAACTCATACGAGTAAATCTCCTTCTTATTTCAGTTGACATCGATCTTTCGTACGAAAATGTTTGCCTTCTCTGTGATTGTCTCTTTTTCAAAAAATTTTAATTTGTATAAAATTATTGTGTGGATTTGTTTATTTTTTATGACGTGTGAAAATGTGTGCTCGTGTTTTAACAAAAATTAGGTATGAATTTATAAAAGTTTGTTCTAATCGTTTAAAATAGTGCTTTGGTCCTTTTATAAAAATATTTTTGAAGTCTTTTATATAAAAATTTGTTTTTAATAAATTTTAGCCTGATGAGGCTGACGAACCTTGCCAGCGAAACGTCGCATTGACGAAACATTCGATTTTTTATTCAATTACACCTTCCCATGATCATTTATAATTCTACAATCAACAATTAAACCATGGAAGGATTTAACTATACTCAATGATTTGTAAATTATTTAAAAATATTATTATCGTATTAGTTTAATAAATTTTATTTTAAAAAATTGAAGGCTAAATATTAATAAAACAAGAAAAAAAAATAATGAAAACTCACCGGGTATTGAACAAATGGCACGAAGAAGTTTTGTGAAACGCACTAATTCAACTTCCAATGGAGCTCCACGTTTTTTATGTAACCAATAAAGAAGGGCGAATTGCATCATTGCTAAAGGATGAATGTCACTTTTTTTCGCGGCTTCTCTCCATTTTTCTATAGAATCGTCCGAATATAACCATCCCTTATAAAATAATTCAGCTGAAATAAATATTTCCAAAAATTATAAAACAAGAATAAATGCTTTCCAAAAACTTTAAACAATAAAACTTAAAGATTTCTACTTTAAAATAAAATCCATTCAATATTTTAATAATATTTCCAAAAAAAAATGTTTAATTGAATTAATAATTTTAACGAATAACTAAATTAATAATCATATATTTAAATTATAATTTAGTAAAATAATTAATAATTATAAAAAATTACCAGTTTGACATTTTTTCTCGAGGGATAAATCTTTCTTTAAACACAAAATTCCTGCGGTGCCAAATTGAAAACTTGAAAGAAAATCATATAAACGTCGTCCGTCCTCTTTAAATGAGACTTTTGTCTTTGATCGTATTTCCGGTAATTTAATTTCCTTCACTGTATTCGAAAGTTTTAAAATTCGATTAATTTCCCGCTCGAAAGTAAGTAAAATGGATGATAACATTTTTGCATCTGGAATTCTATCACCAGCAACTGTATTATATTTTGGTGGCTGATCAAATTGAATTAACAGATATTTATAAAATTCCACAACTTTTTTCAATTGACTAATTATTTGATACAAATATTTCGCACTTGATTGAAGATCTTCGTCTGTAAATAAATAATTTTGAAACAAATTAAAAGTAAAATATAATTTTCTCCATTACACAAAATCGGTAATTGACTGACAAAAAAATTTTATTTTAAAACTGATTATTGAATATATAAAAATATTGGTTTTAAAAAAATGCAGTTTAAAAAATAATTAATTTTTTTATATTTTGTTTACAACATAAACATAATGGACATTTCATTTTTGTAAACCAAATGGGATTGGGTTAAATAAATAAATAAATTACTCACTATTTTATGACGCAATGGTTATTGACTGAAGAAAGTCCAGGAATTCACAAACATCGAACACGTGACAAGGGTTGGATATCCAAATTTTGCGATTCGTTTCTGAATAAGAAAAACTCTCCTCGTACAAAAAAAATAGTCTAAAAAACTAAACAAACAAATTAAAAAAAAGAAAAATATTTCAATTTACTTATCTCGTTTTAAAACATATTTGTAAAAAAAATTAATTATAATTTAATTAATTTCCAAACAATATTTATGTTTCTCCTTTAAATTCTCATCATCGATGCGCTTGTGAGATAAAAAATTCTTGCTTCCAGTTTTTGACCTCTGTACATACATTTAAATATTATTAAATATTCTACATTGAAAATAATATATTTCGTCCAAATTTGTGCGAATGACTGAGTGAAAAAAATATATAATGGTTTAAAAAATATAGTGCAAAAATATGAAACTTTGGAATTTTGTTAAATATAATATGACTAATCTTTAACATAAATTACAGCTTAAAATATTTGTTAGTTTACGAGATTTGCAATAATAACAACAAATTTTAAACTTCTATATCTTCGATTCTATTAATCCGATTAAGTTCTACCTTTTTTTAAAATATCAACAAAAATGAGAGGAATAAATCTCCTTTAGAACAATTTTTTATAAATTTGCAACTAAAAAAATTATTAAATAAAAATTTAACAATTTATAAATATATTGATTAAAAAGATAATAATTATTTTTTCCTATTAATTTTGATTTAATTTAAAAATTAATTTTTCTTTTACATATATATATTTATTTAATTAAAATAGTCCATATGGAAATAAATTTGAAGAATAAATCATTTGTGCATTAATAAAAATGATAAACCAACAGAAAATATATTTTTAAAAAAAGAATAGATTAAACTTTCAATTGAAGGAAAAAAAATATTTCGACATTAGATCTGCCGTTTATTGTCGATGAATAATAACAACAACAGATTTACATCGAAGAAATCCTTCGACCACAGCCTTAACTCACAAACGTCATTCTTCGCACAATCATTCTCATTGAAATAAATTAAGAGACGTATCATAAGAGTGACATTACTACTAAAATTGTTTAACAATAAAACATTAACGAATGTAAATATAATTTTCTAGAGATTAGAATTGGACGAAGTATAATCGTACAATTCTTCAAATTTCTTTTTGTACAATATTTTTTTTTGTAAGTTATCTCTCCAGTGACTTTAATTTATTCTACATGCTGTAAAAATGCAACGCCAAACTACAATAATGTAGTGTTTCCTTTACTTTATCTATTATTTTTGCTTTTTTTTTTTTAATTCATCGTGTGTTTTGATTTCATTTTGAAAAAAATTTACATCGCAAATTGACACTGGTTCGTAAACTATATTTAATTTTGCGACTTACCGGAAATAGAGAAAAATTAATGTAAAATTGAGACTTTTCAACATCACGAGAAAATATTTGAAAATGTTCCTTTTTAATTGTCGTTCAACATGTCACGTTTTTCCCTCAAATATAAACATTGCATCAAGCATCATTTGAGCTATATGATAATCGCAATGTTCCTCTGTTGTCAATCTTGAGATACATCGTACTAATTCTATTGTATCAGTGTTTGATGATTTTATTGACATTGTATTTGGTGAACTCTGAAATAATTAAAAAATCATTAGAAATTTTTGTTTTTCTCATTATATAATAATTTTCTCTAATTCCTGCGAAAAAAAGTAAAAAAAAAAAAATAATTAATTTTTCAAAATATATTTTTTTTATATGCCTATATTGTAATAATTGTTATCGAAAAAGTAATTTTAATAAGAGGGAAAAATTTTAAATTACCCAAACAAGACTCTGTAGATATGTAGTGAGTGCGGGATTTATTCTTGAAATTTCTTCCAAAAGATCAGGAGCTTTTGACAAATAAGTCATTAGTCTTCCTCCAGCGATTGGCAATAATTTCGATGCCAATTTTTCTGTATCGTTAACGGCAATTATCACCTGAATAAATAATAAATAAATAAATAAATAACATGAAATTTAATCAGAAAGTAAATACTAAAATAAATTAATATCAAATTTTATTTCATATTATTAAAAAAAATAATAATAAAATTAATATAAATTTTTGTCAATCGTAATTTTTAAATTTATCCATAATTGGACAAATTATTTACAACAATAAATTTGTCGAGAAAAATTTTATATATTTTAAATTCATAATAAGAAAAGAAGTTTATGTTATTTTTCCTTGGATGTTAAAATTTAAATTGTCAATAAAATATAAGAATCTTTATAATAGAAAATTAACCATTTTCTATCTAATAAAAACCTTAAGCCTCAATTAGTTAAACTGTTAAAAAACTATACAAGCCAAAAATAAATACAATGGAAATGTTCTTTTTGTCAAGTTTCTTTTTCTGTAGAATATTTTAATTTCGTTAATTGCAATTTTTACTAAAAAGTTAAAAAATTTAAAAAATTCTAATTTATTTCATTAAAAAATTTTATGATTAAATACCATCTTAATGCAGAAAAAATAAAACAATATACTTAAATAATTACTCAAGTAAGTTGGAAATTACAAAAATTAATTAAAATTTTACTTTAAAATACACTTTTAATTATTAGAAGAAATTTTTTGTAAAAAATATATTAATATTTCTGAAATATTGTACTAAAAACAAATTGAAAAAGAAATTTACATTTGTCTGCAATAACCGTAAATTAAATAATAATTCGTCAAGAAATCTTAAAAATTTACTTTTTCACATTTGCCAAAAGTAAAAAAAAAATATATATATATATATATATACCTATATATTTTAATAAAAGAAAATTTAAATATTTTTAATTATAAAAAAAATAATAAAAATTCTCTTTATTTAAAATTAAAAACTACTAAAAATTACTTTGTGAAAATCGACAAATAATACTGCAAATTAAATGAAATTTTAAAATATTTATAAGATAAATTGAAAAAATATTCAACATTCATAAAAACAAAAATAATTAATTTAAAAAAAATCTCAAGAACTATATTTCAATTAACAACTTAATAATTTTTCTTTTTGTTCACATCTAGAAACAATGATTCTTTTAAAAAAAATTCAATCTTCTTTGTTTTTAGAGATTTATCAGAGTATTGAATAACTAATCAATAATACAAAACATTTAATATTGTGAAAAAAATTCTAAAAAGAACTTAAAATCAGTTTTAATATTAAAGGATCAGAAAAAATTTTTTTTTTATTAATATCAAATACTCTTAAAAATTATTATTGAACTTTGTTAAAACAAAAAACAAAAATTAGTTAAAAATTATTAAAAACGATTTAAATAAAATTAGAATCGTAATTAAAAAATTTGAAATCTACTATTTTTGATGGACCAAATTTCTGTTTAATAAAAATGAAAGTAATTAAATAATTATTAAAGAGCAAAACATTCATTTACCTCTTCGGCGAGACGATCAAAATTATTGCTATAAAGAGCGCAAGCATGATGTATTCTTAATTCGTCATTATTAATTTTCCAAATTGACGCCAACATTTGACACTTGTTCATCCAATGCATCGCTTCTTTTGAACTTAAATTATTCTCCATTTTACTTTCCTGATGAATCAATTCCATCGATGATGAAATAACAGAACAAAGAAAATCGAGTCGAAAATTGTCTCTTTTTTTGTCCTGATACGAAACTATCACCGATTCGTCAGTTATATTTTGAAAGAAATAACGCTGAGCCTTAAAAAAAAAAAATTTTTTTTTATTAATTTTCTAAATAAAGAAATGTTTTTTCTGTTGAAATTAAAAAAGAATTTTTTTTTTTAATTTAGATAAAAAACGAAATTTAGTAAAATTTTGTAAAAAAATCCTAAATGTTATTTTTTTGTTTAGAAATTATTTTACAAAAATTGCAAATTTTTGATATCCTTATTCTTGAAGTTAACAAAAAAAAAAAAAAAAAATGGTTTAAATACAATAAATTTAAATTCGTAAGATAATGAAAATTGAAACTCACTATGGAATCGAAAAGATTGTTGACGGGTTTTGTTACTTTTAAATTGAAATGCGCCATCATGACAAGAACATTAGCCAATTGAAGATGCAACATTATTAAATCATACCAAGCAAATGGTTGCGAAATAGCGAGTGCTGCAAAAGGTTGCGGTCCCGATGGACAACCTTCCCACAATTCTTCCGATTGTACAATTGATCGATTTTCCGCTTCCACAACTTCCGCCTGTAAATGAAAACATTCATTTTAAATCAAATAAAATTAAATTAACTACTTGATTAATGTTAATTAAAACAAAAATTAAAAAATGATTTTCATTTTACATCTAGGAAAATATCGAAGAATGTAACGCAATGATCGAGAAATTTTGTGAGTTGAATATCAGAGATGCCAATATCTTGAACGCATAATCTTTCTTTTGGCAATTTTCCCAATTTATTCATAAGTTTCGAAGCTGCCTCTAAACGTTCTTTAATATGTAATGTCCATAATAATGAGCAAACGCCTTGTTGCATACGTTTTCTTGGAATTTGTCTCAAAATTCCTAAAGCCGCCTCTAATGCCTCAAGATTATTTATATCTTTGCACCAAAACATCACATATTCCCAACAAAGATTTGCTAATAAAACACTGCTCGTTAAACTATAAGGAAAATGTTTCTTCAATAGAGATATTTTATCTGAAAATTAGAAAAAATAATATAAACAATATATTTAGAAAAAAAATTTCAAATAAAATAGACAGAATATTAAATTAGTAAATTAATAAAATAAAATTCTTTATCCTTTCAATATAATTTTAAATAAAAATTTCAATTTTATATTAAATTCTGTGAAATTCAATCATAATTTTAAATTTTTTTCTTTAGAAAAGTAATTCAAAAAAAAAAATTTTTTTTTTTCTTTATGACAAAAATTACCAATGACATAAGACAAAGCCGTTTGATCGTCTTTTGCTTCACTACCAACTTCAACGGCTAATGAAAGCAATTTATCGCGATCCTGTTGCTTCAATTCAACGGCACACGCTTCATCCAAAGAATCAATTCGTTGCATAGAATCCTTAATGGAATGAATATGTTCAAATTCAATGTCAGTTGTGTCAATTAATCGAGTTGGATCCAAACCCGCTGAACTGAGCCATTTGGCAACAATTTCCGAAATCGATCCTGTAAAATGAAAATTATTATATAATTATTAAATTAAATTAAATAGGTAATTTATTAACATTTTTGTTTAACAAAATATTAATTATTAATTATTAAATCTCACACTGAACTACTTAAATTTTCACTGACTATGCAATATTTGTTCCATTTTCTGATAGAGATTAAATGAAAATAAAACTTATGATTTTAATGAAAAATTTTGTTCTTAATTTTGTAATATACTTTAAGATTTATAACCAACTATTAATTTTGGACGTAATTAAAATTATTTCTTTAAATTTTTACAGCATCTTTTTATTTTTAAGATTTTAGGAAAAAAAATTCCAGAATTTCAAATTTTTTTTTTCTCTTTCTTTTTTTTTATATATTATATATATATATATATATATATATATATATATAAAAGAGAAAAAAAATAAATTCCTCGAGTAAAATATGTAACTGAAATTAAATTTCCAAGGACATTGGAAACTAACAGATATAGATCAATTTCTTTGAATGTTTTTCAAAACTTATTTTCACAATTAAAACGATACTATCTATGTAAAATGTTGAAAATTACACTTGACCTATAGGAATTTATTGTGTTAGGTGAATTTCCACTTTCAAAGCAACTTGACAACTACAACGAGACGTACAGAACTCGTCCTTTGACGATGAAAAATTACACTTTTTCTAGTGTAATAATTCCTGATGAAATTTGCAAAATACTGTTTGTGCTTAATAATTATTGGATCAAGGAGCCTGGGAGACGCAACAAAAAATGGTTACCTAGGAGGATTAATAAACTATCTGCAGAAAGAGTCCAAATTGTATCAGGTAATTATGAACTATAAGAAATTGTTATTAACATTAGTGTTGTAATAATAATAATAATTTTTTTAGAGTTTCGAAAAAAATTACTTTGACAAAATATCACATTCTATTATAAAAAATTATCATTATTATTATAATAGGATCAATGCATTATATATCACCAAAAATCGTTGAGATCGATTTTTAGAAAAATCTATAATAATACAACGATGTAAAAAATTCACAATATTTATGATCAAAGATTAGAAAAAAAAAAATTTTTATGACTTAAAAATAGATATAAAATTTTCCATCTAAATAATAATAATAATTTCTTGATGCTTATAAATTGCAAAAAATATTTTTCAGGCGAAAATTTATAGAATTATTAAAGTATTAAGACGCTTAATTCATTATTGTCAATTACTTTATAATTTAGATGAATGAGTGAAAAATTTTTTAAATTCAAAATTGACATCTTTTTTGAATATTAAAAATATATTTTTTTTTACTTCTTGAAATGAAGCTTAAAATTAATACGGTCAGTTGGGGTAAATGGGGACAATATCGCTATTTTTCACAAATTACGTAAGTTTCTTCCTTTAAAAGGTAATAATTGCGGGTTTATTTTCTTTTAAGTTGTTATTTACGTTCCCAGGATTAATTTTATGCAGCAGAAAAAAATTTAGATAAGCTATAAACGCATGAAACTGACTGTCCCCATTGACCCCAAAATTTAGAAAATTTCATAAAATTCGGGGTAAATAGGGACAGCATAGTTTCTAAGAAAATTTTAAGAAAAAAGTTTCCTTAAGTATATTACTGTATTAAGGGATGAAAAAACTTGAAAAAAAATTTGTAGTAGATAAATAATAGTTGAACCAATTGAAATTTTTTAATTTTTTTTTATTTCAGTATTTTGTCTCGCATTTGAAAAAAAACAGACTTAAAAATCATACAAAATTTTTTTCTTATTCCTTATGACTCCCATAATAGAAATTCACTTAAATTTTTGATTTTTGTTAATTTGGTTAATAATGACAAGCTGTCCCCATTTACCCCAAAAATTCGAAAACTCAGGGTAAATGGGGACAGCTTGTCATTATTAATCAAATTAACAAAAATCAAAAATTCAAGTGAATTTCTGTTATGGAAGTCATAAGGAATAAGAAAAAAATTTTAAATGATTTTTAAGTCTGTTTTCTTTGAAATGCTCGACAAAATACTGAAACAGTTTGACTTTGATTTTCAAGTTTTTATGCATTGAGCGATAACTTTTTTTATCTTGCTGCCAATTGTCAAGATAAAAACTTGTCAATACTCAAAACCTCTTGCAGGTGATCTGAGATTAAAATATTGACGTTGAACTTAATTTTAAAACTGTAAATTAAGCTGAAAAAATAAAAATTTTTTTAATAAACTATTTAGACTAATGAAAATTTGAGTAAATAATAATTCTGACAAATTCAAATTCGATGAAATAAAAAGTCTGGAAAATAAAAATTTGTTCAAGTAACAATCCCACCTGGAGCTAACTCAGCTATTTCACACGAGTAGTTATGATTTTTCAAAAAAATCAAATTCTTTTTACATTTGACCAAAATTTTAATCTTCTTCCCCTCTAAAATTTTCGATAAAAATGAATAATAATTTATGGGTGAAGTACACACCCATTGTAATAAATGTAATGCAAATTGCAACCTGATCTAAGAATTTTTTTTTTAGTAAGATTACTTGATAAATTTTGCCTTATAAATAAAATGTTATAAAATAATTGACAAAAAAAAAATTGTACGAGTATTAAAAATCATTACTAATGCGAATTTTTCTAAAAATTAACCACAATAACTTTCCGTGAAATATATTGAATTAACCTAATATTAATTTAATACGATTTTGTTAATTATTATAATTATATTAGGTAATGTTTGTCGTCGACGATCGCTGGATGAATTCAAGCTCAAGAGCAAGTTCTCTTGTTCAAACAGTTTCGGAGCACTTTCCAACAATGAGCATTAGTTTATCGAAATTTAAATTCGAATTTATTAAAACTAACTATCCGTCATCACTACAGCGACCAAGGAAAACAACATTATTTGTTTTTTTTCTCAATGGCAATCTTGATGAGCTATTAAATCAGCTAAAAATTATAATTGAAAATGTCTCGCAACTGACTTGGGGAGAGCCATTCCCAAAAATGTTGCTTAACATTTTTTGGCCACACAATTTTTTCCCATTCAATAATTTTCTTAAAACGTTTTGGAAATTAGATTGGATCGATGTTATTATGATGATGCAGCCAAACGAATACCGAAGATCATTAGCAGGAGAGAAATTCAATCAGTCAATTCTACATGAGATAAATCTTTTTGCTGGAACCTATTCCGCTCAAGAAATAACAATCGATAGAGAATGGTTCCCGAATAAATTGCGAGACCTTCATGGGCAGGAATTAAGATTTTTATGCTCAGAGAATTTAAAAAGGCATCTTGATGAAAAGACAATTAAAAACATGGAAAAAATTGCCGATCTCTTTTCAAAAGGTATGAATTGCAAAACCAAAATACATTATGCTTACTGCTCAAGTGAGGAATGTTTGGATGTTCTCAAAGAAAACAAAGCCGAAATAACGTTAATACCTGCAATAATTATGTTAAACAATGATGAACGACCAATTATTTCAAGTATACGCATATTGCAATTTGGTGCTTTGAAAGCTGTGTTACCAAAAAATACAAAATTAACTGAGATTTACGTCGTCTCGGAGGAATTGATTCTTATGCTTTGTGTAACCGCCGGTGCAATTGCTCTCATTCGAATTACAGCCTCGGTGTTAAAATTCAGCAGAAACACATGGCAAACGTTTAAAATCAGTCAAATTATAATGGGAATGTCCGTCGACAACGAACCAGAAAAATTGACAGAAAGAATTGTTTTTGGTGTTCTCATGCTGAGTTGCATCGCTTACACAAGCTACTTTTTCTCAGTGATTCTGGACCTTAGTCTGCGATCTGAACCGGAAATAACAACACTCAAGGAACTGCTCAACTCATCTTTGACACCTCTGGTAGGGTCAATTGTAAAAGAAAACCTGTTGTCTAGTACTATATCTGAAATTCAGGAATTAGGCAGAAAAGCTATTGAATCTTTTGGTGTTAAGTGTTTGGCTTACTTGCATGTTTATAGAAATGTAACTTGCATTTTTACGGAAACTGACAATTTGATCAAATTCATGGAGACTAAATATGAAATCACGAACATTAAAATTCTCGAGGAACCTTTAATTTATTACATAGAGACCTGGAAACAAAGATTGTATTCACCATACACTGAGCATTTCAACGAAATAATTCTGCGAGCCTCACAATCTGGTATACTGAGTAAATTGATAGATTTTGATATAGCGAAACCACCTAATCAATCGCCACCACCAGAAGAAATCTCGAAGGAAAAGTTGTTCATAATAATCACTTACGTTTTGACTATCGGCTACTCTCTCTCGTTGATCGCTTTTTTTAATGAAATTCTGAGCATCATTACGTGGCAGAAAATTCGCTTATTTTTCGTCAATTGTTTTAACAGGATCAGAGAAAAATTATGGTAAAATGAAATCGAGTTTTTAGCAGTTAAATCTGTTACAATGAAATTCACAAATATGTACCTGTTAGAGGTGTGCAAAAAGCTTGAAACTCGATTGACAATTTTTGAGCTTTTAGTTTTCGAGTCGAGCCAAGTTGTTTCAACAGCTCGAAGTTTCCCGAGTTCTCAAATTTATTCGATTTAATAAAATTCCTGTAGACATAATTATATTGAGAAAAATATGAATGTTAGTTCTACTTTTGACCAAACTTTACCTGGGTCTAAAAATATTTATTTAACACAATAATTTTGGACATACCTTAATCTCGAAATTGAAGTATATACCCGTCTTATAAGCATAATGACGACATTAAATTTTAAAATAAGTTTAAGAACTAACTTTAAAAATTTTTGAATGCATTTTAATTATTTAAATTTGAATACCAATTGACAAGTTATAATAAAATAATCCTTAAATTTGAATTAGTAGTTTTCTACTGATAAAAGAATGCAAATTCATTTACCAGTACAATAGTAAAAAATTTTATCTATTAATTGTACGAAATAAATTTCAATTAGTAGATATTTTATTACTCTTTCATCAGTAGAAAACTACTAATTCAGATTTAAAGAGTATTTCTTGTTTTTGTGCAAAAATGTACAAACGTATTTAAAAAATATACTGCGTGGATTTGAGTACTTGATACTTCGAGAAAGCTCGACTCGAAAAAAACGTAGCTCGACTCGACTTTTTTGCACGCACCTCTAGTACCTATATCAGATTTCAAGAAATCAGAAAATTAACTGTCGTTCAAAACTGAAACAATGTAACTCATTCTTTTTTATTTAGCGTCAACCGCGGGAAAAAAAACAAAAAATACCCTTTTTTAAAATTGTTATTGTAAAAAAAAGTATTATATTTATTAAAACAATGTCAAAAAAGAATTATTCCAATAACTATAATACTTTTTTTTAAATAAAATTTTTAAAAAGTATTTCTTTTTTGTTAATTTCAAACCAGAAAGTCCCCTTAAGAAAGCAAAATTATTGTATTTCAAATTTTACCTATAATCTAATGTTCTACAAATAATGAGACCCATGATTATCTAAATAAATCATTTATTGCAATTGTTATTTTAAAGATTTTTATTATAAATACTTATTTTTCATATGAATTTTCATTTTTCGAATTCGCATTTGACAGAATTTCATTTTATACAAATTTTAACTTAACAAGATTTTAGCTACCGATTTTTCGTTACATAGGCATTTAATTTACTTAACTTTTTATTTAAAAGAATATTAATTTTATCGAATTTTGATTTAGCAGAATTCTCATTCAATCGAATTTTACATGATTCGAATTTTTAAATGACAGCAATTCAAATTCACCGAATTTTCATTTGTCCAAAACTACAAATGCCCAAAAATAGAAACGACAGAGAGATTATAATGGAATTTTTATAGAATTGATCATTCATAATTTACTTTATAATTTCTAATTCGTCAATTAAAATTCGGTGAATTGGAATTTCTGTCATTGAAAAATTCAAATCACACAAAATTCGATTGAATAAGAATTTTTTTTTAATTAAAATTTTTTTATATAAAAAGTCATATAAAGAAAATGATTGTCAAATAAAAATTCGGTCAGTTAAAAATTTTGTTATGTAAAAATTCACATAAAAATGAAAATCTGTCAAAATGCTGATTCGAAAAATGAAAATTATTATAAAAAAAATAATTATTTCTAATCAAATTCTTTTAAATAAAAATTCTAATTAGGGACAGTTGGGGTAAATGGGGACAGCATAGTTGCTAAGAAAGATTTAAGAAAAAAGTTTCCTTAAGTATATTACTATATTAAGGGATGAAAAAACTTGAAAAAAAATTGTAATATGGCGGACAAACTTAAAAGTTTTCTTATAAATTGATTAAATTTGCTTGGTTTATGTCTTTTATTTACTTTTTTTTATTTCAGTATTTTGTCTCACATTTGAAAAAAAACAGACTTAAAAATCATACAAAATTTGTTTCTTATTCCTTAAGACTCCCATAACAGAAATTCACTTGAATTTTTTATACTCGTCAATTTGGTTAATAATAACAAGCTGTTCCCATTGACCCCGAAATTTAAAATTCTTAGGATAAATGAGGACAGCTTGTTATTTACTATTTTCAAATGTCTCAAAGTCTATGATGACAAAATAATCAATATAATAATGTGTATTGTCTCTAAAAAAAATACTTTTGTGCAGCTTTAAATGATGAAACTTTGTAATTAATAAAAATTATGAGTTCTGAGATGCTTTTATTTAAACTTATTGAAATTAAAGAACTCCTAATTATAATAAAAATGGTATATCTTGTTAATAATAAAAAATAAGCTTATTTCAAAAAAATATTGTAAAAAATGTGTAAAAAGATTTATCAATTATTATGGTTAATCGCAATAGTATCAATCTGCTTCATTTCTTTTGTTGTAGGTAAAGAGTAATTTATTTTTAAATAATTAGCAACTTAACAAGAATGTATTTTATCTCTTCACTTGTGAAATTTTAAAATTTGTCACTTAAAATGTATGTATGTGAATAAAATTTCAGTGTTGTACCCAAAAAACAATTTTCCTAATTTTTCTTACTGAAAATTTCAATACTCCAAAAATATATTTTGCTTATATTTTAAATTAATTAAAATATTAATTTTTTTTTTACCTTTTCCACTGGATAAGACGTAGCCCAATGAAATGTAATTGGCTTCGTAAGGCAATGTATAATACGGCGTCGAATGATCCGACGGTGGTTGTTGACTGAAAATATTTAAAAAATTTTTAATCAATTTTACAATCGGTAAAATTTAATTTATAAAATTAAAAGAATTAACTCACCTGACAATTGCATTTAAAATTGTAATATCCTCCAAATTTGCAATCAATAGAGAAAATTGACATGTATCCTTGCTGACATTTTCCCACTCACTTAATGAGCTGTGTGTCTCGTCCTCGGGCGAGGAAGAAAAATCTTTTTCCTGAGAATCATCTCCCTTTAAATTGCCAATATTTCGACTCTCTTTCTTTTCGTTCTCTGATTCGCCCGCATTTCCATTATCCACTTTCTTCTCCCTTCCACTTGAATTATTATCGACATTTGCATTTCCATTATCGTCAATATTAGAAAATACTAAATTATTTTCAAGACGCATTCCAACTGCTCTACACACTAAAGCTGCTGTCAATGCATGAAATGGATTCGATGCTTCGGTTAAAATTTTACGTGCCTCTTTCCACCATGAGGAAATTTCATTATAATCGCCACAAATCTCATTCACATCTTCGATTACCCAGAAAAAAGAAATTAGAAAAGATTTTTTTTGATAAAAAAACAACAGCAAATTTATTCATAATTAAATTTAAAATTAAAATGGAAAATTTAAAAAAAAACTATTCTTTGTTTAATTAATTTGTAAATTATTTAAAAATATTATTAACGTATTACTTTAATAAATTTTATTTTAAAAAAATTAAAGGCTAAATGTTAATAAAACAAGAAAAAAAAATAATGAAAACTTACCGGGTATTGAACAAATGGCACGAAGAAGTTTTGTGAAACGCACTAATTCGACTTCCAATGGAGCTCCACGTTTTTTATGTAACCAATAAAGAAGAGCGAATTGCATCATTGCTAAAGGATGAATGTCACTTTTTTTCGCGGCTTCTCTCCATTTTTCTATAGAATCGTCCGAATATAACCATCCCTTATAAAATAATTCAGCTGAAATAAATATTTCCAAAAATTATAAAACAAGAATAAATGCTTTCCAAAAACTTTAAACAATAAAAGTTAAAGATTTCTACTTTAAAATAAAATCCATTCAATATTTTAATAATATTTCCAAAAAAAAATGTTTAATTGAATTAATAATTTTAACGAATAACTAAATTAATAATCATATATTTAAATTATAATTTAGTAAAATAATTAATAATTATAAAAAATTACCAGTTTGACATTTTTTCTCGAGGGATAAATCTTTCTTTAAACACAAAATTCCTGCGGTGCCAAATTGAAAACTTGAAAGAAAATCATATAAACGTCGTCCGTCCTCTTTAAATGAGACTTTTGTCTTTGATCGTATTTCCGGTAATTTAATTTCCTTCACTGTATTCGAAAGTTTTAAAATTCGATTAATTTCCCGCTCGAAAGTAAGTAAAATGGATGATAACATTTTTGCATCTGGAATTCTATCACCAGCAACTGTATTATATTTTGGTGGCTGATCAAATTGAATTAACAGATATTTATAAAATTCCACAACTTTTTTCAATTGACTAATTATTTGATACAAATTTTTCGCAGTTGATTGAAGATCTTCGTCTGTAAATATATAATTTTGAAACAAATTAAAAGTAAAATATAATTTTTTCCATTACACAAAAATCGTGTTTTAAATAACAATTTATTAAAATATATTTAAAAAATAGCAAAATAAAGTATAAATAATTATTAAAAAAATCTTGGAAACTTACTGTTTTTTTCAAAAATTTGACTGAAACACTCAATTGCAGTAAGAAGAGCATCGGGCGTTGAATTTTTGTAATTTATCAACATTTCAATGACTTGCAATCGTATTTCATCAGTTTTCAAATCAAGACAAATATTTCTAATCATATTGATAAATGTTTCCTCCTCGTATTCAACTTCACGTATAAATGTTTTCAATTTTTTAAAAAGATGTAAGTCACGTGCTCTGTCACCATTTTGACTGGTAAGTGCAAAATGAAATGGTACAATTATTTCTTTCATTCCACCCAAAGGATCGATAAATACACATGGATATTGTGCACGATTTGACGTTGATAAAATCACATCATTAAGTCCCGATAGGCCATAATTTGTATAGAGTAATCTGAATTCAAAAAAGAAAAAATATGTACATGTAAAAACGTAAATTTAATTTTATTAAAATTTTTATTAATGTTTTCTTTTTTTTTTTTTTTATAAACGTACCGTCCATTTTTGCTGGCCGAGAAAGAAGTTATTTTTGTGCCATTTTGAATACTCCAAATGTCAATTAATCCCTTTTTTGGTGCATAAATCACAAGAAATAGAGCACGACGCATTTGCGTATTGGAAACAAGTCCAGGATTTGTTTTACGCTCTTTTCGACTAATTCGCTGTTTTTCCTCGTTAGCCTCAATCCATCCACATTGAGCGTCACGATAACCTTTCCACATTCTTAATGCCATACCTTGTCTATTGTCTATTAAAATAACACGACCCAGTGAATCCATTACGACTGAAAGCATTTTATTTGGACTCATCAGAACTGAATTTCCTTCACGAAAAATATCACTCAATGCAAAGCGACACATCATTGCCTCGGCCGGTTCATTCACTGAGCCTTTTGGTTTCTCTTGCACCGACGATTTTGAATTTCCACGAAACCAACTTTTTGAAAAAAAGAAAAAAAAACATGAAAATTAATAAATGGGGCGTATAAATTAACCATAAAAAATCATTAATTAGAATTTTTATTTTCAAGTATTTTATTAGGATAAATTAATTTTTAAACGAATTTTCGATTTAAAATTTGACAGGTTTTCTTTTAATACAAATTTTTTGAAATAAAAAAAAATTTAGCTATCGAATTTTTGTTTGGCAGAATTTTTATTTTAGTCATTTAATTTAGATAACTTTTTATTTAAGAGAATTTTAATTTAATTGAACTTTAATTAAACAGAATTTTCATTAAATCGAATTAAATGTGATTCGAATTTTTAAATAACAAAAATTCTATGTCACCGAATTTTAATTTGTACGAATTTTTAAGACGCCGAATGATTATTATTATATTTATTTTACAAATTAACGGTTTTCAAAAAATTCTTTGTAAGATAAAATAATTAACTTTAAAAATCTGCAAACTATTATATTATATTTAGTGTCTTTCAAAATTAATTCAATGAATTCAATTAAATTCCTTAATTTATGTTTTCAATTCAATGCTTAAAATTAATTTTTGGCATTAAACATTTTTTCTTTTTTTTTTTTTTTTTTAATTTTCTTTAACTTACGGAACGGCAGATCCAATGGCACTGGCAACTTTATTAGCCATTGCAATGGCAACATCAGATAAAACAGGAGCTTGTCCACCTTCTAAAGCATAATGAAATCCAATGAATGGTCTTTTTCCTGTTGCCATGACAAGATTGTGTTGCGGTGCACTTGAACGATAAGTGGTGTGAAAACCACCACAAAGTGATGCTGTCATTAAATGATCAAAAGTATTGACTGTCGTCATACCAACAACTTCCGCATCATTCGCAACATCTTGATTTTTAAAACCCAATTTTTTACAAACAAGACTCGTCATTTGTTGACGATCGTTGCAATTCGCTTTTACTGTAAACAGAATTTTTTGATTTTATTTATTTAAAATTTATACATTTTTTTTTTTTCACTTATTCTCATTATAAAAAATTATTTATTTAAAAAGAAAGTTTAATTTAAAAGAAAAAATAATAAAACGATAAATGCAACATTTAATGAATCATTGTAATAGAATAAAAAATAAGAAAAAATGAAAATAAAATGTAGAAATTTACCTCTGGCCATGTAATTTCTACATGCTTTGAGGGTTGAAAAAAGAGGGAAGCCTTGAAGTAAACAAATAACAGAATTGTAAAGAACATAAATTTCTTCCGACGATTGTGATTCTCCAGAATGTCGAGGCGCTGAAAGTGATTGACATTTTATGCCTAAAATACTTTCATTATGAAGTTGTTCTTCAAGTAATAAAACTCCAGTCTGTGAAAAGAATATATTTACTTTATTACATATTCTCGTTAAAATTTAATTTTAATTTACCTTTTTAATTAATTTTTTTTTAAATAATTATTATAATTCACTTACTTCTGTGTAAAATCTTATAAAGCCAGAATCTAAACCAACAGCGAGACATGTCCAGTCGATTCCAGTTCCGACACTTGCTTTTCCTTGTGCTACCAAAGGAAGACATAATATTGATGTTATTCTGAAAAATAAAATATATTTAATATAAAAAATACATATTAATTAATTAAAAAGAGTTTTTTTTTCAATGATTTAAAAACTCACTTATGTTTGTATTCAATTTCTCCGTCCCATAAAATATGAAATTTATTTTTAACATCATCTGGTTCCAAAGAGTCCCATTTTGCTGAAATTATTTTTAAAAATTAATTTCAAAAATCTTTCTAAAGTTCTCAACGTTCAAAAGAAACAAAAAAATTGTTTATTTTTGTTAACTTCTTTATTATAAAATATTGTTTCAAAAAAAAAAAAAATTAAATGTTTAATATGTATTTTTTTTTATTAATCTCATGTAAAAAGATAATATCTATTTATGTTACATTATAATGAATTTTTTTTTTATTTTTTATTACTGTAGTAATTTTCAAATAATTTATAAATCAAAAAATTCATTTGCAACTTCAGAACTTTAGACATTTAGAAATATTAAATTAAATTTTGAATAAACAATTTAAAAACAATTAATTTTCTACAGTTGAAAAAAATAGAAAATTCAAATATTAAAAATAAATATTAAATTGATAAAAAAGAGATTACACATATAGGTAATAAAAAAGCACAGTGTGTAAAAATGTAAAAAAAAAAATCTAAACAATGGAAAGATAATAAACAAACATAAAATGGAAAAATAACTTACATATTAAAATGACAACTCTTGTATTCCAAGCTAAAGCAAGAATATCACCAGCAGGTGATAAAGAAATTAAAATATCCTGAACTGGTAATTCGTCAACAGGTACATCAATCACTGTAATTTGATATCATATGATTGACAAATAATATATGACAGATGTTTAATCATTTTTGTTTTCAATAACATAGAAAAAAAACTCACATTTCGACGCAAGAGCACCAAAAAGACGATTTTTCACTTCTGGTAAATCTAATAAATTGGCAATTTTTTTAATTTCACAAGACATTTTTTTATATTGCCACAAAATTATAAAATTTTAATATAAAGAAACATTTACGAAAGAAAAACATTGAGATTTCTAACAGCCATTTTGTAAACTAATGTTTTTCGAAAAGTTACTATATACACAAATTACCTACGTATTTTAAATATATTTACTTAAATATTAAACGTGAATGTAAAATATTAAAATTAGTAATTATTATTTTCTTTGCAAAGAAAATATTTTAATAATTTTTATAAATACCTGATACAAAAAATTGTTGTAAATATATAGTTAATTTAAAATATTTACGTATAAGATCAGGATTGAATTAACTCTATTTAGTGCCCTTAAGTAAAAGTTTGCCACCTCTTTTTAATTCCAATCAAAAAATACAAATACTAATTAATTATTAACTAATAAGAAAATACTGAAGAAAAAATAAATTGTAACTGTTTGAAAATTTTTTTTTGAAATATTTTTAAAAATAGAAAGAAATGTTTTTCTATGTACGCCCCTGATTAAAAGTCAAAGTCAAAAATGTTGATCTTAAAAATTTTTAATTTTTCGTAAAATAAAAATATTATTTTGAAAATTTTTAATTAAAATTTAATTTTTTAATAAAATTTATAAATAGTATTTTAATTTTTAAAAAAATTATTTCAGTTAATATAAATAATTCTTTTGAAATTCTAAAAATTACGGAAGCACGCAATAAACACGTGATATCGAACGTCACTGTCGATCTTCAATTATCTCATTTCCAATTGGTAGAAATACCGCAAATAAACCAATCAAAATTCATCTTTCTAAACAATGATTGCGCCTCTCAAAAAAGATGTTGCACGGCCATTTTGTTGATTATTTTCGAAAATCTTTTTTAGAGGTTGGAATTATTGCGGTGTTAACGCAGTAGGTGATATAGGCAGGCGCGTCTGCGAATTTTCCACGCTTCTCGCCGGTGGAAAGTTTTTTCTTTTTTTTTTTTTCTTAATTTCAAAAAAAAAAAGGATATCGCGCGGATGAAATTCAAAGGAAAAACGTTGCAAGTTTTGACAAAACACGACCTCGGTGGGTATTGTCACTTTTTCAACGACGAAATCCAAGAACCAAGAGACGTCGTCGACGACGACGACGATGATGATAATGATGAGAGAAAGACAAAGAGAGAAAGAGAGAGGGAATAACAGATAGGGATAGAATAATCACTATATATACTTGAGTGTTATTTGACATAGGGTTACTCTCCTCCGAAAAAGGAAGTGCGCGCAATTTTTTTATTTCCCCATTTTTGGAGTTATAAATTTTAATGAATTTTTTTTGTTTTTCAAAATCGAAAAGAATAAATTTTTCTGTGACAGTATAAATTTGTGTGAAATTTAAAAAATTTATCAAAACATTTTGATATGTGACTTGGATGTTATTTGGTAAATGTGAAGGGAAATAAATAATAATAATAATATGATGAAAGTAGAAATTTGATAATAATGATTATGATAATTTTGGTGGGTGAGAGTGGTAAAGGAGAACTTTTTCTAAAACGTTTGTGATGGAAGAGTGGTGTGTCTGTCCTTGTCCATGTTTCATGGCGAGTGAGATGGACAATGTCGAAACAAGACGAGTGTGTGAAAACGAACGAAGTTGGTCGCGCGCGGGAATCGGTCGTTTGTGTGTTTGATCATTTTTGTGCTGTGTGTGATTTATCTGGAGGCATCGTAGTATAATTGTCGATGCGGAACGAGTGTTTTTTTTACGACCGTGAAGGAAGTTTGTGTGTGTGCCAGTTTGAAAACGGTAGGTTTTTAAAGAATTGTGTTTGAGAGAGTGAAAGAGAGTGAAAGAGAGAGAGAGAGAGAGAGAGACATTTACTCTACTCATCATCGTCAACGGGTATATTATAACGACGCAATGGCAAAACAGCGACCGGGGTAGTTAAATATTTTATGGATAGACTGACGTTATTTTCATCTTGTTGTGAGTAAATATTTATTATCAATGAATTTCGTTTTAATTGCAGTGAATATGCTTTCTTTTTTGTGCAATTAGAAAATGCGAAATTCACCGGGTTCCCTCTAACCCCGTTTACGAGTGACAAATGTAGGTTAGGTCGGGCGGTCGCAGTGCGGTGACCTCCCCGAGGCACGTTTTGTCTTGTTTCCAGTGAATTATTTTCATTGGAATAAAACGCAAATTTTCTTATTGTATTATTTGATATTTGATTTATTGAAATTTAAGTGATTTTTTTCAGAATGCCGAAACTGAGGACGCCTTGCTTTAGATCTTTCATAGAGCGTTCATTTAACTTGGCGCTGTCTGACCGTTATTTATCATTTTTTCCTCCTGGTGATATTTGAAATTTTTTATCAATTATTTTCATATTTATATTTATATAAATAATTTTCAATATAATTTTTTGTGACTTGGAAATTTTTCTTGATATCCGGTCGTTGAATTTTTTGCCATTGTAAACAATTTATTTTGTCTATACTTTGTTTTTGATTTTAATTTATATTTTAATTGTCGTGAATATGTTTTTGGAATGTTGAAAAAAAATTCTCCAGAGGGATTATTTTATTTTTTTATTTTGGTATAGAAAAGAATTTTTTTTTGTCAAAATTTAAGAAATCGGGAATTTTTCTGTATTAAACAAATGATTTAATTGTTGATCGATTAATAAAGAATTGAATGTTTTTTTTTCAGTTTGCGTGTGAAAAGAAAAATCATTCATAATGGCAACTCTAGCCGAGCAAGCTTCAAAGTTGTTGGACTTTAACCAGAAGTTGGACATAACGCTTCTCGACAATATTGTAGGATGTATGTATACTGGAATAGGTGAACAACAACGGGTAGCACAGGACGTCCTGACTACACTCAAGGAACATCCAGATGCATGGACACGAGTGGATACAATTTTAGAATATTCACAGGTATTTAAAAAATAAAAATCCTTAAAATCATGAAAAATTACTAATTATTCTTTGAATAGAGAAAAAAAGAAAAATTTAATTTTTCTTTCTAATATTCTGATTTTTCACACAGAATCAACAAACGAAATATTACGCGTTACAAATATTGGAGCAAGTCATAAAGACAAGATGGAAAGTTTTGCCGAGAAATCAATGCGAAGGTATAAAAAAATATATTGTAGGCTTGATTATTAAAACGAGCAGCGATCCCGAAACAATGGAGGCTTCCAAAGTCTATCTCAACAAACTTAACATGATTCTCGTACAGGTGAGAAGAATTTAAATTCTTTAATTATTAAAATTTTTTTAAAAAAAAATTCTAAAAATTAATTTTCATTTTGATTTATTAAATTTGCAGGTATTGAAACGAGAATGGCCAAAGAATTGGGAATCGTTTATTGGCGATATTGTTGGCGCAAGTAAAACTAATGAGAGTCTTTGTCAGAATAATATGGCTATTTTGAAATTATTGTCTGAGGAAGTATTTGATTTTTCAAGTGGACAAATAACACAAACAAAAGCAAAACATTTAAAAGACACAATGTGCAGTGAATTTTCACAAATTTTTCAACTCTGTCAATTTGTTATGGATAATTCACAAAATGTTCCTCTTGTTGCCGTGACACTAGAGACGCTACTTCGATTTTTAAATTGGATTCCTCTTGGATATATTTTCGAGACAAAATTAATCACCACTCTGATATTTAAAGTAAATTAAATTATAAATTTTCTTTTTCAAAAAATTCTAAAAAACAAAAAAATTCACACATTTTTACCTCTTTTTTTTTACAGTTTCTAAATGTTCCAATCTTCAGAAATGTGACATTAAAATGTTTGACCGAAATCGCAGGCGTTACAGTGACGAATTATGACGACATGTTTATTGTTCTTTTTGCAAATACAATGTCGCAATTGGAACAAATGTTGCCATTGGATACAAATATACGCGATGCCTATGCAAGGGGTCAGGATCAGGATCAAAATTTTATTCAAAATTTGGCAATGTTCTTGTGTACTTATTTAAAGGAACATGGCCAATTGGTGGAGAAAAAACAAATGATGGAAACATTATCGAAAGCATTACATTATCTTGTATTAATATCGGATGTTGAAGAGGTGGAGATATTTAAAATTTGCCTCGAATATTGGAATGGATTGGCGGCCGATCTTTATCGTGAAAATCCATTTATGTCAACGGCGCCATTATTTTTATCGAAAAATAATGTTGCAACACCGCCAAGGAGAATATTTTATTGTCCTGTATTAACGAAAGTACGTTATATTATGATTAGTCGAATGGCAAAACCAGAAGAGGTGCTCGTTGTTGAAAATGAAAATGGTGAAGTTGTTAGGGAATTTATGAAGGACACGGATTCAATAAATTTGTATAAAAATATGAGAGAGACACTTGTTTATCTCACACATCTTGATTATGTTGACACGGAACGTGTTATGACGGAGAAATTACAAAATCAAGTCAATGGAACTGAATGGTCATGGAAAAATCTTAACACGGTGATTGGAAATCATTTTTTCTTTTTATTGTGAAAGCAAATTTTTTATAGATTTTATTAATTTTTGTTTAAATTAATTGTGTGGATAAATAATTAAATAAATTAATTGAAAATTAATGTGTTAATAATTTTGATTGCAGTTGTGTTGGGCGATAGGAAGTATTTCGGGTGCGATGCACGAGGAAGATGAGAAACGCTTTCTTGTGACGGTAATAAAGGACTTGCTTGGTTTATGCGAGCAAAAAAAGGGCAAAGACAACAAAGCCATTATCGCCAGTAATATTATGTATGTCGTAGGACAATATCCCCGATTTCTTCGCGCTCATTGGAAATTTTTGAAAACTGTTGTGAATAAATTATTCGAATTCATGCACGGTGAGTATTATAAAATTTATTTATTTTGTAAACATTAATTAATCATTTTAAAGTGGCCATCGAATCTTAAAAATCGTAAAAATAATGTAAATTTTGTTAAGTCTTTAAAAAACTGTAAATTCACATTGAATTTTTTTTTTTTTAATTCGCATTTTGATTTTTCTTTAAATTGAAATTTGTGAGGAATTTTCCTAAAATTTTTTGTCTACCTTGAAGTAAAATGTTTCTTGAAAAAAAAGGAAAAACAAAGAATTTATGAAATTTTTTCTTTCTGAATAAAAACTATTTCTTGTCTTACAATTTTTGAGATTGAAAATTTATATATATATATTCTTTTATTTAAAAATTTTATCTTATATGATTCAGTGGACAATATATTGAATTGAAATTATTTTTCTATAGAAACACACGAGGGTGTGCAAGACATGGCATGCGATACTTTTATTAAAATTGCTCTAAAATGTAGACGACATTTTGTAACGTTGCAAATTGGCGAAGTTGTGCCCTTTATAGATGAAATTTTATCTACCATTAGCAGTATCATTTGTGATCTCCAAACGCAACAGGTAAATTATTATATAATTAATAATCATATTTGTAAAATAATTTTCAAATTTAAATTCAATATGAAACCAAAAAAAAATAATAAATTTACTAAATTTAAATTTATTTAAATAAATAATAAATTTAATTTATATTTGTAGATAATTTTTATATTATATTAATTTCATTGATTATGAGGGAAAAAATTACCTATTTGTTAATGTGTAAAATTAATTTTAATTTTGAAAATGGTAATTTATTGATGAATATTTAAATTGTATTTTTTTTTTTTTTAAAGGTTCATACATTTTATGAAGCTGTTGGTTATATGATTAATGCCCAAGTTGACACGGTAGTGCAGGACCATTTGATAGAAAAGTACATGTTACTGCCGAATCAAGTCTGGGACGACATAATAAGTCAGGCCTCAAAGGTAAAATTGACAAAATATTTATTTTCTTAATTATTTAATGAAAATCAATTTTCTTTGAACTATAGGGATAATTAAATTAAAAAGAACACAGAAATTTTCAACAAATTCTCTACTAAGAAATAGTTATAAATTTAAATTAATTGAAAAAAAACAATTTTATTAAAAGTTGAATTTTTATATTAAAATTTAATAATATTTCGAACTGTTAAATATTTAAATACTCCATTTCATTAGTTCGAATTTTTACTGATTTTTTTTTTTATAATATAAAAATTTTATTTAAGCAACCTTTTTTATTTTAATAATAATCAATTTTTTGATTTTTAACAACAATTAATGTGAAATTTATTTGTAATTTTATTAACGTAAAGAGAACGGTGAATTTAATTCATAAAAAATAATAGACACTGAAAATTTATTGCTAATTTAAATAATCTAAAAATTGTTGTGATCTAAACGTTTGTTTTTTAATTGAAAATTGTTATTATTATTAAATATAATTAAACTATATATGATAGTTTAAATTATTGGTGAAAAAACAAAAATAAGAGAAAAAGATTGACTAAAATCTGTATTTTTTAATAGAATGTTGACATCTTGAAAGATCAGGAGGCAGTAAAGCAACTCGCCAGTATCCTCAAAACAAATGTCCGTGCATGTAAAGCACTTGGACATCCGTACGTGATGCAATTAGGACGAATATATTTAGATATGTTGAATGTTTATAAGGTGATGAGTGAGAACATTAGCGCTGCCATAGCATTAAACGGAGAGATTGTTACGAAGCAACCATTAATCAAGAGTATGAGAGTTGTTAAGAAAGAAACCCTTAAATTAATATCAGACTGGGTTAGCAGAACGAATGAACATCAAATGGTGAGTATTCATTTTTGGCGAAATTAATTTTTTCTTGATAATTATTAATTTACGATGTTCATTGTACTTTAAAATCCTTGAATTTTTTTTTTTTTTTCAAAAACTGTCTGACACTTAATTTTTAAAATATAATTTTTATAAATTAAATATTTTGACGTTTATTATTATATATTTATTATTTTTATGATTAACATTATTATCTAATATTTCTGTTTTTGGTTTTTAACGTTTATTTTTGTTTTTAAATTATTAATTTTTTTTTTTTTATCAACATTGCAGGTCCTTGATAACTTTATTCCACATTTATTGGACGCGGTTTTGATAGATTATCAAAAGACAAATGTTGCATGCGCTCGCGAACCTGAAGTTTTAAGCGCCATGGCGACAATTGTGAATAAACTTGAGGGCTATATTACCAGTGAAGTACCGAAAATATTTGACGCTGTGTTTGAGTGCACCTTAGAAATGATCAATAAAGACTTCGAGGTATTCCCTGAGCACAGAACGAATTTCTTCTTCCTGTTGCAGGTAATAATTCTTTTTTTTTTTCTTGATAAAAAAATTTTATTTCATTATTTCAAAAATCAATTAAAATTTAATCAATAAAAAAGCAGAAAAAATTTGAAAGTAAATAAAAATAATAAAAAATTAATTAAAGTTACAATTAAATAATTAATTTGGTAAAAATTAAATAAAATCATTTGAAATTATAATTTTTTATTTTAAATAAGAATTAAGAATTTATCACTATTTTAAATAATAAAAAAAAAGAAGATATCGATCACTCGATTTAAAATAAATTGAGTGATTTTTAAATAATTGACTGATGAAAAATGTGAATTAGAAATTAAATTTTTTGATATTCGTAATAATAATTAAAATGAGTTTTTTTTTTTTTTTGTTTGTTTTTGTTTTCAGGCAGTGAATGTTCATTGTTTCCCTGCTTTTCTGTCGATTCCACCGGCGCAGTTCAAATTAGTCCTGGACTCAATTATATGGGCCTTTAAACACACCATGAGAAATGTAGCAGACACTGGCCTCAATATTCTTCATCAACTTTTGCAAAATATCGAACAGCATGATCAAGCGGCGCAGAGCTTTTATCACACGTACTTTACGGATATTCTTCAGCATATTTTCAGTGTGGTTACAGATACATCCCACACTGCTGGTAATGTTTTTATTCATATTTTCATTTTATTTATTTTATTTTATTTTTTTTTTAAATTTTTAAAACGTTAATATTGCCGTCATATTTTATATAGTAAAAGTTTCAAAAATAGGTCAATCGATGCATTTTTAAATAATCTACAAGCTAGTTGTAATAGTTTAAAGGTTACATGAAAATTTTCAAATAAAAAATGCAAAAAAGTCAGATTTTTCAAAAATTTTCATTTTTCAAACGTTAATAATTCCGTCATATTTTATTTTTAAAGAGCTTTACAAATTAAAAAATATGTATCTATAAACATTTTTTCAAACATTTTGAAATGCAAAAAATACGGACATTTTTTTTTTAAACATCATTTTTAAATTTCTGTGGCGATAGTTTTGAATTTTTTTTTTTTCTTTACGCTGTGAAGGACAAATAATTGAATATTTATGCAAAAAATCATTCTTGAATATCATCACTGGAATAAAAATATCCTCGAAATATGGTCAGAAATCGCACACGAATTTTATCATTAAAATAATATTTCCTCTATGAGGAAGCAATATAGTTGAAAAAAAATTTACTAAATGAAAATTAAATGAAAATTGAAAGAAAGTCTACTTTATTAAATTACTTATATGAATTGGAATTTTATAACTATTTTTTGCTTTTTTGTTTTTAGGACTTACAATGCATGCAACTATTTTGGCATATATGTTTTCACTTGTGGAATCTGGAAGAATTCAGATACCTCTGGGTCCTATTCCCGACAACACACTTTACATTCAAGATTTCGTAGCAAGGTTACTCAGGACAGCATTTCCACATTTAACGGATAATCAAATTAAAATCACTGTTCAAGGATTATTTAATCTTGATCAAGATATTCCCGCCTTCAAAGAGCATTTAAGAGATTTCCTCGTTCAAATCAGAGTAAGTTTCTTTGCACACATAATTTTTTTTACAATTTTCATTTTTAAAATTAACAAATTTTACCAAAAAATTAATCATTTATAAAATGATTTTCTTTTTTATTGTTTTTGTTTATTTGTAAAATTTCTATTTTACGTTTGCTTAATTTATTTGAGTGAAAATAAAAATTATATTTTTATATGTTAATTTATAAAAATAAGCACAGATAAGAGTTAATTATCAAGTTTATTTATTTTTGAGTTTTTTTTTTGGACTTTAAAATAAATCAGATAATTTACAATTTTTTTTTCATTTATTTATTATTCAAGTGCAATAAAGTACAAGTGCTCTATATTAATAGAGACAAATGCTGTTAGCAGTATTTTAAATTTCACGCACATGACAAAAATAATTAAAAGTACAAGGTTTATAATATTACTTTATAATCCTACAATTTTTGTACTTTTTTTTAAAGACATTTAATATATTTTAAAATTGTTTAGCCCTTTAAAGCCTCTTAATTTATTATTAGTAACATCAAAAGCTTCCAGGTTTTAAGTTTCTTAAAGAAAATACATACATGGTAAAGTTTAATTCTAATAAACAGATAAAATTTTCAAAATTTGATCTGCTATTTTGAATTTTCAAAACCAAACTTTGGATTTCCCAATTAGTGATCACACAAAATCCTAAAAGTGTCATATTTTTCAAAAATTAATTAGTAAAATGTATTGTACAAAATTTACTGAATTGGTACATGAAAAAATTATGTTTTTTTAAAATAATAATTCAAGTGGAAGATATGATTTTTACAAATCTTGTAAAAAATCTTCAAAACACATTATTTAAGAGCGCATGTATTTTATTAGAAATAATTATTATTTAGACTAATTTTGGAATTAAAATTTGACAACATTTATTTTTATACGAATTTTTATATAACAAAATTTTTAGCTAACAAATTTTTGTTTGGCAGAATTTTTATTTTACAGTCATTTTCTTTACATGACATTTTATTTAAGAAAATTTTAATTTAAGCGAATTTTAATTCAGCAGAATTCTCATTTAATCGAATTTCATGTGATTTGAATTTTTAAATGACAAATTTTAATTCACCGAATTTTAATTTGTCCAAATTTTTATTTGTACGAGTTTTTAATTGATAGAATTTTTAAGATGCCATAATTTTTATTTGTTCGAAATTACAAATTGACCGAACAAACAATCGACAGAAAGAATTCGGGTCAATTTTTAAAATTGGCCAATCACGATTTTCTTAATATAATTTCTTATTAATCAATTTTAAAAATTGCGTCTAAATATTTTTGTCGATTGTTTGTTTGGCCATTTGTAATTTCGGAAAAATGAAAATTAGTCAAATTTTAATTCAAAAAATCAAAATTCGTCAAAAAAAAAAATTATTTCTATTAAAAAAATCTTTAAAATGAAAATTGTATTTAATGATTTTTATAAAATAATCATGGGCCCTATTATTTGTAAAGCATTAAATAAGATAACATTTGAAATATAGTTTTGCTTTAATAATGTGACTTTCTAGTTTAGAATTGACAAAAGAACAATACTTTTTAAACCTAAATTTTATTTTTTAAAAAGTATTATAGTTATTGGAATAATTCTTTTTTGACATTATGTTTTAATAAATATAATACTTTTTTTTACAATAAAAATTTTAAAAAAGTGTATTTTTTGTCTAGGTGTTAAATTTTGATATTTCTAAATGAATATTTTACAAATTAAAAACAAGCTTATACCATCAAGGTGTCCAGCGGTCAGGGAATTTAATTAAAAGTTAGGGAATCTTTTAAAAATTTGCCAAAAATGAACATTTTTATGAATTTTCTAAATTTCTCAATGCAAGAAAAAGTTTATAATGCTAATAAATAAAATGTTTTTTATTATCTTAAATAGTACATTGTGCAACTAGTGGGGAAAGTGGGTGATTTTTCGAGAGTGAAGTTTGCTGCTCGAGCACAGCGAGAGTATATTAATCACTCGAGAAAAATCATTCTTTCCAACGTGTGGCACACGACGTTTTCTCCAACGCCTCTCAAGGAAATGCATTTTTATTAATTAGGAAGAATTAACAATGTATATATGCTTTATATATAATAACAACTATTTGTTTTTTTAAATAAACAATGTTTTATTTGTTGTTTATTATTATTATTATATATATTTATTATTTATCAAAGAAAAACTAAAAAACTATTAAGATTTACTTTCCCCACGCTCGGCCGAGAAGTTAATAAGTGGTTCTTCTTCCCCAATACTTTTCTAACCAAGAAAGTTGCACTTTTCGAGCAGGTGTTGGAGAAAATACTTTAATATTTGATACTTTTCATTTTTTAAATATTAAATATTTATTAATTAAAGAAAAGTTGGAAAAATGTTAGGAAAAAGTCAGAGAATTTTTTTTTTTACTTCAAACTGAACACCCTGATTATGTTAGCCGCGGATGACGGGAAGTAAAAATAAAAAAAAAAGTTACGCATTGTTTCAGTTTTGCACAACAGTTAATTTTCTGGTCTTTTGAAATCTGATATACATGATAATTTTACTGTAATAAATTTAACCGCTAAAAACTCGATTTCATTTTACCATAATTTTTCTCTGATCCTGTTAAAACAATTGACGAAAAATAAGCGAATTTTCTGCCACGTAATGATGCTCAGAATTTCATTAAAAAAAGCGATCAACGAGAGAGAGTAGCCGATAGTCAAAACGTAAGTGACTATTATGAACAACTTTTCCTTCGAGATTTCTTCTGGTGGTGGCGGTTGATTAGGTGCTTTCACTATATCTACGTCTATCAATTTCCTCAGTATACCAGATTGTGAGGCTCGCAGAATTATTTCGTTGAAATGCTCAGAGTATGGTGAAAGAAATCTTGGTTTCCAGGTCTCTTTGTAATAAATTAAAGGTTCCTCGAGAATTTTAATGTTCGTTTTATATTTAGTCTCCAGTAATTTGATCAAAATGTCAGGTTCCGCAATAATGCATGTTACATTTCCATAAACGTGCAAGTAAAACACACAATTACTCGCAGAAGATTCAATAGCTTTTCTGCCTAATTCCTGAATTTCAGATATAGGACTAGACAACAGGTTTTTTTTTACAATTGACTCTACCAGAGGTGTCAAAGATGAGTTGAGCAGTTCCTTGAGTGTTGTTATTTCCGGTTCAGATCGCAGACTAAGGTCCAGAATCACTGAGAAAAAGTAGCTTGTGTAAGCGATGCAACTCAGCATGAGGACACCAAAAACAATTCTTTCTGTCAATTTTTCTGGTTCGTTGTCGACGGACATTCCCATTATAATTTGACTGATTTTAAACGTTTGCCATGTGTTTCTGCTGAATTTTAACACCGAGGCTGTAATTCGAATGAGAGCAATTGCACCGGCGGTTACACAAAGCATAAGAATCAATTCCTCCGAGACGACGATAATCTCAGTTAATCTTGTATTTTTTGGTAACACAGCTTTCAAAGCACCAAATTGCAAAATGCGTATACTTGAAATAATTAGTGGTTCATCGTTGTTTAACACAATTATTGCAGGTTTTAACGTTATTTCGGCTTTGTTTTCTTTGAGAACATCCAAACATTCCACACTTGAGCAGTAAGCATAATGTATTTTGGTTTTGCAATTCATACCTTTTGAAAAGAGATCGGCAATTTTTTCCATGTTTTTAATTGTCTTTTCATCAAGATGCCTTTTTAAATTCTCTGAGCATAAAAATCTTAATTCCTGCCCATGAAGGTCTCGCAATTTATTCGGGAACCATTCTCTATCGATTGTTATTTCTTGAGCGGAATAGGTTCCAGCAAAAAGATTTATCTCATGTAGAATTGACTGATTGAATTTCTCTCCTGCTAATGATCTTCGGTATTCGTTTGGCTGCATCATCATAATAACATCGAGCCATTCCAGTTTCCAAAACATTTCAAGTACAATTTTGATTGGAAATAGATTGTTGGGCGCAAAAATGTTAAGCAACATTTTTGGGTATGGCTCTGTACAAGTCAGTTGCAGGACATTTTCAATTATAATTTTTAGCTGATTTAATAGCTCATCAAGATTGCCATCGAAAAAAACAATAAATAATGTTGTTTTCCTTGGTCGTTGTAGTGATGACGGATAGTTAGTTTTAATAAATTCGAATTTAAATTTAGATAAACTAATGCTCATTGTTGGAAAGTGCTCAGAAACTTTTTGAACAAGAGAACTTGCTCTTGAGCTTGAATTCATCAAGTGATCGTCGACGACAAACATTACCTAATATAATTATAATAATTAACAAAGCCGTATTAAATTAATATTTGGTCAATACAATATATTTCACTGAAAGTTATTGTGGTTAATTTTTAGAAAAATTCGCACTAGTAATGATTTTTAATATTCGTACAATAAATTATTATTCATTTTTATCGAAAAGTTTAGAGGAGAAGAAGATTAAAATTTTGGTCAAATGTAAAAAGAATTTGATTTTTTTTGAAAAATCATAACTACTCGTGTGAAATAGCTGAGTTAGCTCCAGATGGGATTGTTACTTGAACAAATTTTCATTTTTCAGACTTTTTATTTCATCGAATTTGAATTTGTCAGAATTTTGCACCATTCAATCAAATAACGTTTATGATTAACGATTTTTAAAGGATTATTTTTTTGGATCAAAATTCTATAAATTTTCGTCTAAAAAAATATTTTTTGCAATTCATAAGCATCAAGAAATTATTATTATTATTATGTATTATTATTAAGATAAAAAATGTTATATCTAATTTTAAGTTTTAAAAAAAATTGTTTTCTAATCGTTGATCATAAACGTTTTTAACTTCAACATCGTTGAATTATTATTAGACTTTTCTAAAAATTGGTCTCAACGAGTTTTGGTGAAATATAATGCATTGATTCTATAAAAATAATAAAATAATAACAATTCTTATTATTATTATTATTGCAAGACTTTTTAAACTAATGTGAATAAAAAATTTCTGGTAA